AAATTTTAAGCCAATTGAAGTTAGCATTCACTCATATCATTTATTTCATATTGTCTATGTGTACAACATATTATAACTACCTGGCTGGGTACAGGAAAGAGATCTCCACATCCTCAAAGAATTTAGCAGCCAACAGGGGAAACAGGCATCTGCACATATGACATTAACCTGAGGACCAACAAACATGCTGGTGGGAGGGGTAAAAATAATTTTTTTTGTCTCAGTTACTCTTCTCTCATTTGTGAAGGAAGGAAATATTTACTTAGCTCGCAGTCAGCAGAGGGTTCAGTCCATACATAGGTGGCTCCAAGGCATAGCGGCACATGGCGGAGGGCAACATTTCATGGTGGCAGCAAAGAGCAGAGAGCAAAGGGAGGAGCAGTGGCAACAGTAGCTACAGAGAGCAAGTCTGTCTCTCTATGTTGCATTCAGGCTAATTGTCCCAGGCTGAGTGTAGCACTCACACCCATAATCCCAGCAGCACTTGCATCTATAATCCCAGAAGTACTCACATCCTTAATCCCAGCCTTGGATCATGAATTAATCACAAACTCTAGAAGTCTACCCAATAACTGCATGAGGCTTTGGGGGGGACACCTAGACACAAATCACAACAATCTGACAGAGGTGGAGGAAATAAATCATCTTGAATCACATGGAGGGAAAGGGGGCAATGAGGATATCTTCAAAAATTAGTGCTTAATCTGGGTACAAAGAATATTTTGCAAACTAGGGAAGCCAAAACACCTTAAGTAGACCATTCATGCAGTGGATAAAGACTGAGGCACAGTAAACATTTAATAAGTATTATGGATGATAGCGAATGAGTAAATGAACAAATAGTCATCCAAGAATGATACATAGCTCTGTATTTCTCAGCAAAAAATATGGGAAAACATACCCTACAACTATATATTTTACTTAACGATTTTGTTTATTGTCTGTCTGCATTGGTCTCCAGTAGAATGTAAACTCTGTGAGGGTTGGAATCTTGTCTGCTTTTCTATTCTATTTCTAGTGTGCAAAACACTACCTGGCAGCTACTAGGCACCTAAACATATTTGTTAGATGATTAAATGATTGTTAAGGGATTAGATAAAGCTAGCAATAGATTTGAATTATAGTATGATGAGATTTGAATGCTAGACAAAGGATTTGGGCATTTATTTTAATGGGTGGCCACTGAAAATTCTCGATTATACTAGTCACAAGATCCAAACTACTCTTTACAAAGATTACTCTGGTGTAAGATAGGACAAGCCTGGCAAGGGCATCTGTATTTCCTTTTCAGAAGCACTCTTCCTCCTTTCTTAGCCCATGAGTGTGGGTGGTCCTGCTACCTCAACTCTTTCCCTTTGCTCCGGGGATGGTCATGTGATCCAACTTGGCCAATGGAAGCATTTCATCTCACTGGGCCACAGTGATTGGCCCAGGGTCAGATACTTGACCTGAGCCAGACCAATGAGACGGTCCCCTACATCTTTAGATAACTATTAGAAGATGTGGCCTTCACGTGAATATTGGTAATGCCAGTCTGAAAGTATGTATGTGAGCCTGAAGTTGGTAGTGACAATAGGAAGCTGCCTGAGGATGAAGCTAACAGATGAAGAAAGAAAGGAAGAAAAAGAGAGAAAATAGACAAAGAGAGTCAGTGACTGATGGCTTCATTTATACTCCTGGATAGAGCCTCCCTGAAAACATTACTCTGAATTTTCATTAACACTGAAAGCTGTCGCACCAGAAGTCTTTCCTGCCTAATGTCATTCCCTTCCTGCTTGAATTGGTTTCATCTATTGACAGTGCAATTTCTGAGTATAGTCTGCCTGCATCCTGATCCCTTTTTTAAAAAATTTTATTTATTTATGTGTGTGTGTGTGTGTGTGTGTGTGTGTGTGGCCAGCTCAGCCCACCAGGGGGCGGGGCTGGCACGTGGTGCTGGGGGATTGAACTGCGGTCCTTGTGCTTTGCTAAGCTTGTTCTAAGTAGGTGCTTTAGACCACTGAGCCATCTCACCAGCCCCCCTGCATCCTGATCCCTTAACAATTATTTATTCATCTAACAAATATGTTTAGTTGCCTAGTATCTGCCAAGGAGTGTTCTAGGCACTAGAAATAGAGTAGAAGAACAGACAAAAATCCCTGCCCTCATAGAGCTCACATTCTAGTGGAGACCAGTGCAGACAGACAATAAACAAAGCCACTAAGTAAAATATATAGCATGTAATGATATGTGTTCTGGGAGAAGAAAATGAGGCAGAGTGAGAACTGGGAGAACAGGCTAGCAGTAGGTTTGCAGTTTGACAGAGCATGACTAAAACCTGACTTGATAATGCTGTAATTATCAAGGAATCATGCTTTGTAGGGAGAAAGGATTTCTTTCTAGTCAAAGAAGATTTCTGTCCCCAAGGAAGGACTATGCCTGGCAGATAGATGAAGAGCTAAGACACAGCAGCTGAAAGTAGCTCCCATGAAATTAGCGTGACAGTGCCAGAGAGTGGAAATTGGAGAGCCATTCTAAGAACTAAACCTTCCAGGCACGGTGGTGCACACCTATAATCCCAGCACTTGGGAGGCTGTGGTAGAAGCATCATTTTGACTTTGAGGCCAGCTGGGGCTATGTAGTGAGACCCTGTCTCAAAAAAAAAAAAAAAAAAAAAAGAAAAGAAAAAGAAAAAGAACATTCACTCTGAAAAATAGGAAGTCATTAGGGAGTTCTTCACAGAAGAGGGTTATGCACTGACACATATAAAAAAGGATCACCTTGGCCACCTGTGAAGAAGAGGAGTGAAAGCAGAAGGCCAGGCAAGGAGACCATGAGAACCCAGAAAGAGAGGCTTGGCTGGTGGTAGCCACATTGAGAGTGAAAAGGGGTCAACCTCAGGGCCTGTGCTGAAGATAAAGGCCAACATGCTGATAAATCAGACATGGAATCACAT